AAAAAAAAAAAAAAAATAATCTGTTAAATACTTCAAAATGACATATAATGTAAATAAGCAGGCATACATAGCCTACTTGAACTGGCTCATTATAGATGTTACGCCAGCTTGGTAATGTTTCTAACATTTTCTTCTACAAGTATAGTTTTGCTTTACCACAAAACCTAAATTTATAGAAATAAAAATTACAAATAAGATGTAGTACCCAACAGAGCACTTGTTCTGGATTGAACTGTGTATCCTCAAAATTCTTATGTTGAAACCCTAACCTCCAATGTGGTTGTACTTGGAGGCAGGGCCTTTAAGGAGGTAAAGTAGCATGAGGTTATGTGAATAGGCCCAATTGGATAGGACTGGTATCCTTATCTAACTGTGAGAAAAGTAAGTTTTGTTATTTAAGTCATCCAGTCTGGTTACTGTAGCCCTAGCTGACCAATGTAGCACCGTATAGGACAATGTTTGCTCATGAAAGAATTTAAAAAAAATCACTTTAAGTTATTTAAATAACAGGACTCATACACAAAGCACAAAGAAGAGAGTTAAAGAAGTAAAAATAAAATTAGAATATTAGAAAAATTTGTTCCAGAGGAGGAACAAAAAAAAAAGAAAAAAAGGAAAAAAGAAAAAAGAAAAATTTGGCCAGGTGCAGTGGCTCATGTCTGTAATCCCAGCACTTTGGGAGGCTGAGGTGGGCAGATCACCTGAGTTCAGGAGTTCGAGACCAGCCTGGCCAACACTGCGAAAACCCATCTCTATTAAAAATACAAAAAAACTAGCTGGTCATGGTGGTGCACATCTGCAGTCCCAGCTACTTGGGAGGCTGACGCAGGAGAATTGCTTGAACCCGGGAAGCAAAGGTTGCAGTGAGCCAAGATCACAACAATGCACTCCAGCCTGGGTGACAGAGTGAGATTCTGGCTCAAAAAATAATAATAATATTAGAAAAATTTAAGGTAAAAAGCACAAAGACTCACTAATAAATGAAAGCAAAAATTAAACATTACTGAAATTATAAATTTTTAAATAGCAATACTGTTTATGAAAATTCATTTATAAGCCAGGCATGGTGGCTCATGCCTGTAATCCCAGCACTATGGGAGGATGAGGCAGGTGGATCAACTGAGGTCAGGAGTTCGAGACCAGCCTGGCCAACATGGTGAAACCCTGTCTCTATCTAAAAAAAAAAAAAAAGAAAAAGAAAAAAATGTATTTCTAAAAATTAAATTGACATATTATATTTTCACAGTCATCTAACGGACAAAGTAAAACACACTTGTACTTCAATGTACATCCAAATTAACTCCAGGATACAAGATGATATGTAATAGTAATTAATGAAAAATGTTAAACCATAGGTTTTTGATGCTTATACCTCCGGGGCGTTACTGACTCTAGAGAGAGTATGTCCATCCCAGGGCTAGCCAGTTCCTAGAGACAGTAAGTGACTAGCCTGTGAGCGTGCCTTTTCGTATTCAAACCAACCACTTCAGAGCCTACATCCCTACCACCTACTCTACACTAACATTCAAGGTGACTATTCCTCCATACTAATTACAAAAGGGTTGGGTACCAGACAACTAGGGACAACTCTATGCCCCAGAGCCCACTGGATTTATTCAAACTAGCTAATCCTAAACTTGCTTACCCTGGGTTGCCTGTTTCTTCCCAAAGAAACCATAATAAAGACTCTTGCCCATGTTTTCCCCCGTTCCCTCTGCCTCCTGAACAACTCTGGGGCTTTCCGATGTAGCCCCTGTGGCGTTCGAGCCCCTTCCTCTTGGGAACTGTGAATAACAAACTATTATTTCAGCAGCTTTTTTGATCTGCTGGCCTCACGATACCTGAAGAATAATAAAAGTTATGTTTTAATACATTGCCTTGGGTTATCCAGTCAACGAATGTACAGACATTTTAAAAAATACACTAAGAGACTTCATAGAAAGCTTAAACATAGGGATGGATAACATCCATGAATCTTACTTTCTTGAAGGTTGAGTGGAGGATTAATGAGATTATCTAAAGTTCGAGGTCCATGCTCAGACTGTGGTGCTGAAAATCCAGGGATTAAGCATGAAAACATCCAGAGCTGTTCTTTGCTACAGTTATTCTGAAGAGCTTGCAACCATAGTAAGAAAAGACGAACACCTTCCCGCCTAATCTAAAATAAAATAAAATGAAAACAGAGAGTATTTTTATTTATAATGGAAATATTTTCTTCCTTTGAAAAACAAAGTTCTCTAGATGATGACTACAGAATGATACTTTGGAGAGACAGGGCAGGGAGGGAAGTTGAGGAGGAGGAGGAGGTAGACAGATATACCAATAGCATCCATTGAAATCATTATTTAGAAATACAAATGCACAGATTTTTAACAAGTATAGAATGAACTTGGTCTCTAGCTATTTAAAGCCATTTTTGTCTTATACTTTCCACTTATAATAATCAGAAAATCATTTCCTTCTTGTCTAATTCCCTCCTTACCTACCTCCCATCATTACCAGTCTAATCCAAGCAGCAAGAGAGAGAACAATGACTGCTGGTGGTGAGAATGAGTTTGGTAAAAGGAGGAATGGTTAGGGGGATCCTGGAACACTGCAAATTCATGGTTCTTGCCCTGAAAAGCTCCAAAATTGTTAAAACTATTAAGTATAAATTATTAAAAATAAAATTATTTAAATTATTTGAATAAAAAATATTTAAAAGCTCTCTGAAATTATCTCATTTACTTATTATTTTATTCTAAGCTCCAAGGTAACAACTTTGTTCAACTACTCTATCAAAGCACCTAAACCAATACCTTGTACACAGAAGACATTAATATTTTAATTGATTAATAAATGCTCTCTCAACATAAAAACAGTAAAAGAGAAATACAAAAAAATTTAATCTCTGATAAGCAAAACACTAAGTTTTCCATTAATCTAACCTTACTGATAGTTTTGGAAATTACCCTACCAGAGCTTGTTCATGGCCACTGTCAAAGGTATTCAACTGTTGTCACTTTCACAGTTCAGCCAGTTAACAGGAGAAAAGCTAAAGGAAGGCTTATTTCTTTTTATTTTTATAGCAAAGCCACGATGCCAAAAGCACCTGTAATAATGTTACTTTACCTAACCTACAACAAGGTGTTTTTGGAATGGGCAGTTTCTCTTACCACAGCAAAATGACACAATGAAAAAGAAACAAGGCTGGGTGCGGTGGCTCACGCCTGTAATCCCAGCACTTTGGGAGGCCGAGGCGGGTGGATCACGAGGTCAAGAAATCGAGACCATCCTGGTCAACATGGTGAAACCCTGTCTCTACCAAAAATACAAAAAATTAGCTGGGCATGGTGGCACGTGCCTATAATCCCAGCTACTCAGGAAACTGAGGCAGGAGAATTGCCTGAATCCAGGAGGCGGAGGTTGCGGTGAGCCGAGATCGCACCATTGCACTCCAGCCCGGGTAACAAGAGCGAAACTCCGTCTCAAAAAAAAAGAAAAAGAAAAAGAAACAAAACTGTGTGCGTGTGTGTGTGTGTGTGTGTGTGTGTGTGTCCCCTACTTTCCTCTATATCTAAGAGTGGCTATGGTACAATGAAGAATAATCTGTTGAATGACTAAAAAATGTTTTTCTTCTTGGGACCATAAAGAGGAAAGATTTCTGGTGAATGAGTCTATTGAGTAGCAAAGTACAACAGTTTTTCAATGGCTCCGGTCAACCTAGAATGGATTGTCAAACTAACTCTGCTACTTTTTTTTTTTTTGAGACAGGCTGTCTCTGTCGCCCAGGCTGGAATGCAGTGGCGTGGTCTCAGCTCACTGCAACCTCCGGCTCCAGGGTTCAAGCAATTTTCCTGCCTCAGCCTCCCAGCTAGTAACTGGGAGTACAGGTGTGTGCCACTGCAGCAGGCTGATTTTTGTTATTTTCAGTAGGGACCGGGTTTCACCACGGTGGCCAGGTTGTTCTTGAACTCCTGGCCTCACGTGATCCACCCACCTTAGCCTCCCAAAGTGTAGGGATTACAGGCATGAGACACCATGCCCAGCCTCTTGCTACATTTTAATTAAATTCACTTCAATTAAATAATAATTCAAAGATTTTCAGAAAAACGTTTAGGTAGGAAAAGTATAACAGGTAGCACGTATGTTCTACTCAGTATTTTTAAAGTCAGAGAAAATAAATACAGTCATACCTTTAAGGAGTTTCCTGTGTGAAGTAGTTTCTTTAAAATCAATCCTGAAAACAAAATGTGATTTTAAAAATTCACATCTTATCTATTTGTAAATGTCAGAGTTCTCGGTCGGACTTGAAAACACTTTTAAATAAGTCCTTGGCAACCTCCAAATTATTCTTGGTGACCTTTATATCCTTCTGGCCATACTTGGGACCAGAAGGGCATATAAAAAGAATCACCTTTTCAAAACATGCTTTATTACAATTAAACATGATTTATTAACAAAACCTAGCCCCGAAATTGCATTTAACACAATCTATTATAAATCTCTTAATTAGACTAAGAATACAATAAAATACTTTGTCACTATCCAAATGAAATCCAGTGCAGAAAATTTTCATTAGTTAACCACATGAACATCCATAATTGTAATATTTCCTAACAAATATTTCCATTATTTAATTTTCTGTTTCAAAAAGTCATTAATATTTCCTTTTTTCTTTTAAATTATGATATATTTCAAACCTACACTAAAATACTGAAAATAACATGAACAAACCTGCAGAGGCCCACCATTTAGTTTGAATAAACCTACACATAGTTCCATGTTTGTTTCATTTACTTGCATTATCTCCAATGTTTTACTTAACTGTACAGGTATCACTGAAGCCCAAATCATATTGTTCCTTTCTTCCTCAGAAGAAACCATTATCCAGGCTTTGGTATTAATCATTTCCAAAAATATTTTTATATTATTACTACACATTTATAAATTCATAAAAAATAATATAAACTGTATCATACAAGTCATTTATTTTTAAATAGTCATTTACAAGTTACTTTTCATATCCAACATTAGCTTAAGAAATTTATCTGTAAGTATCTATGTAGCTCTAGTTAATTCATTTTAAGAGATGAATATTATTCCACAGTATGAACATATCAAAATTTATTTATCTTCTTTATACTAAGACATTTGTTTTCAAATTTTTGCTATTTCAAGAGTACTATAATAAATAGTTCTTGTTCATGATTCCCTGTATACACCTGAGTTTTTCCAGAAATTCAGATATATAAACATGAATAAAATAGGAATAGGGGTATATAAATAGGAATACTACTACTTTCAGCTTTACTAAATATTAAATAATTCTCTCCAAAGTAGTTGTGACAATTAACAGTACTACCAGCAGTACACGAGAGGGTTCTAGTACCATATTATTGGCAGCACAAAACATTGACAGATGCTCTAATATTTGATAATCTGATGAATGTTAACTATCTTAATGTTGTTATCATTTGATATTTCCTAGTGACACTGAACATCTTTTCATTTGGCCATTCAAGGTTTGCCTGTTTTATACTTTGTACAATTTTCAATTTGGTTGTCCTTTTCTTTTTTTTAAAGAGATGGGGTCTCACTCTGTTGTCCAGGCTGGAGTCCAGGTGCAATCATAGATCACTGCAGACTCAAACTCCTGAGTTCAAGTGATCGTACCTCCTCAGCCTCCTGAGTAGCTGGGACTACAGATGTGCACCACCAGGTCTGGCTAATTTTTGCATTTTTTGTAGAAATACGGCCTCATTATGTTACCCAGGCTGGTTGTGAACTCCTGGCCCCAAGTGATTCTCCCACCTCAGCCTCCAAAAGTGCTGGGATTATAGGTATGGGCCACTACACCTGGCCCTCTTCTTCTTCTTTTTTTTTTTTAAATATGAGGAGTTATTTCTATATTACTAATTCTATGTCTAATTCTATGAGTTGAAGATATATTCTCCCAAACAATTCAATCGTTTTTGCTGGGTGGGGAGGTGGTATTTTCTGATGCAGGTAAGTTTTAATTTTTTTTTTTTTTTTTTTTTGAGACAGAGTCTCACTCTGTTACCCAGGCTAGAGTGCAGTGGCATAATCACAGCTCACTGCAGCCTTGACCTCCTGAGCTCAAGTAATCCTCTCACCTCAGCCCCTGGAGAGCTGGGAATAAAGGCACACGCCACTGTGCCTGACTAATTTTTGTATTTTTGTAGAATAGGGTTTTGTCATGTTGCCAAGGCTGGTCTCAAACTCCTGAGCTCAAGTGATCTGCCCATCTTGGCCTCCCAAAGTGCTGAGATTAGAGGCATGAGACACCATGCCTGGCCTTAAATTTTAATATAATTAATTTGCCAATGTTTTTCTTTCTTATGTGTTCTATGTATAAAGAAATCCTTCCTTACATTAAAATTATAAACCAAATATTCTCTTCAAAAGTTTTAAAGTGTTGCTTTCCACATGTAGGTCCTAAAATCTATCAGAAACTTATTTCCTTGTAGGCGAAACAGAGTTTGTTTTTTTGCAAATGGAAAACCAAGTATAGCATTATTTCAGGGTTTATTATGTTCAAATGAACTAAAATGCCATCTCAATCATATTTCAAGTTTCCATACATAAGCTTAGGTCTTTGGCTGATCTCCACGTTCCTTTTCATTCATTTACTTGTCCATCCCTACATCAGCAACAGTGTCTTTATTAGTATAACTTTATAATATATCTTATTATCAGGCATGAAGATAGCTAACAACAATACCCTCTTGGCCCGACTTATTATTCTTCCAAATTGCTTTGGCTTTTATTTTACATAAATTTGTTAGGTTACATTTTTAAATCCCTATAGGAATGTTAAGAATTGTTACGTGTGTGTGTGTATATATATGTATATTTGATATATATGATATATATTTGATACACATGGTATATGTATTTAACATTTAAAAAATAATGTGTACTATTAATGTTTATATATATATTTAACAAATTTATCTGTGTGAGACGTCTTGCTCTGTCACCCAGACTGGAGTGTAGTGGCACAATCATAGCTCACTGCAGCCTCAACCTCTTGGTCTCAAGTGATCCTCTCACCTCCCAAGTAGCTGGGAACACAGGTGCACACTACCACACCCAGCTAATTTTTGTACTTTTTTGTAGAGTTGGGGTACTGCCATGTTACTTGGGCTGGTCTCAAATACCTGGGTTCAAGTGATCCACCTACTTTGGCCTCTCTGGGATTACAGGAATCCCAGAAAGAGCTGGGATTACAGGAATGAGCCACTGCACCCAGCCAAAAATTACTGTCTTACGTGTACATCAAATATGCTAAAAGGTAATGCTACAGTATTTCAGAAATTGTTGGATAGGGAGCTCTACTAATGGAAAAACAAATTTAGATGAGTCTGCTGTGGGATCTGCAAAAGCAGATGGTGTATTTGGACTAGTTAAAAATCCCTGGAATTATTCAAAACAATATAGAGAAAAGAGGAAGCAGAATCTCCACTTTGAGAATGAAGATTCAGACTGGCTGATAACTGGAGGAAGCTCAGGTGGGGGTGCAGGTGCCATAACAGCATCCACATGCTATATGGCTTTAGGATCAGATACAGGAGGATCAACCAGAAATCCTGCTGCCCACTGTCAGCTTCCAGGTTTCAAGCCAAGCTATGGCTTAGTTTGCCATCATGGTCTCATTCCCCTGGAGAATTTGATAGATGTGCAAGGAATCTTAACCAGATGGGTGGATGATGCAGCAATTGTGTTGGGTGTACTGCTGGACACGACCCTAAGGATTCTACCAAAGCATAGGATTCTGTTAAACCATTCATGCTTCCCAGTTTGACAGATGTGAGTAAACTATGTATAGGAATTCCAAAGGAATATCTTGTATTAGAATTATCAAGTGAAGTACAGTCTCTTTGGTCCAAAGCTGCTGACCTCTTTGAGTCCGAAGGGGCCAAAGTAACTGAAGTATCCTTTCCCCTTTCCTCGCACCAGTTATTCAATTGACTGCCACCATGTATCGTGCACATGAAAAGTAGCATCAAATATAGCAAGATTTGATGGGCTACAATATGGTCACAAATGTGACGCTGATGTGTCTACTGCAGCCATGTATTGCTGCCACCAGATGAGAAAGGTTCAATCATTTGGTAAGGGGAAGAACTCTCTTGGGAAATCTTTTCTTATTAAAAGAAAAGTATGGTTGGGCATCGTGGCACATGCCTGTAGTCCCAGCTACTCAGGAGGCTGAGGTGGGAGAATCGCTTGAGCCCAGGAGTTCTGGGCTGTAGTGCACTATGCCAATCGAGTGTCCGCAGTAAGTTCAGCATCAATATGGTGACCTCCTGGGAGCAGGGGACCACCAGGTTGACTAAGGAGGGTCGGAAACGGAGCAGGTCAAAACTCCCGTGCTGATCAATAGTGGGATCATGCCTGTGAATAGCCACTGCACTCCAGCCTGAGCAACATAGCGAGACCCTGTTTTTAAAAAATAATAATAAAAATAATAAAAGAAAAGTATGAACATTATTTCATCAAAGCACAGAAAGTAACATGTCTCATTGCTAGTGATTTTATGAATGCTTTTAATTCTGGAGTATGCTAACTCCCACCATCTTGAATGAGGCAGTACCATACTTGGAGTTCACCAAAGAAGACAACAGAGCATGAAGTGCCTAGGATGATATTTTTACACAGGCTGTAAACATGGCAGGACTGCCAGCAGTATCTCCCTGTTGCACTCTCAAACCAAGGGTTGCCAACAGGACTGCAGCTTATTGGATGTGCATTTTGTGACCAGCAGCTTCTTACAGTAACCAAATGGTCTGAAAAACAAGTTTCCTGTTATTCAACTTCAAGAACTTATGCATGATTGTTCATCAATCCTTGAAAATGAAAAGTTAGTCTCTGTCTCTCTAATATGGTAGGGATAAATATATCATGCAAATTTTTAAAAAATTGTTGTCTTTATACTGTCAAGTTTATTTCCCATGAATATTGCATAAAATTCCATTTATTCGTTAAAGTTCTTTCCTGTTCTTCAATAATCAAATAATTGCCATACATTAATTTAATAATTTTTATTGAATAACATACTGAAAACTAAATTTAATATTTTAAATGACTATAGAATATACATTCTTTCCAAGCACACTGAAACATTCTCCAAGAGGTCTATACTCTGAGCCACAAAGCATCTCAGTAACTTTAAGATTAAAATCATGCAAAAATATTTTTTCTGATGACAAAGGAATTAAGTTGTAAATCACAAAGGAAACAAAATTTGTGAAAACATCAAATATTTGAAGAGCTTAAAAATAAAAACACTTGGCCATGTGCGGTGGCTCATGCCTGTAATCCCAGCACTTTGGGAGGCTGAGGTGAGTGGACCATGTGGTCCGGAGTTTGAGACCAGGCTGACCAACATGATGGAACCCCATCTCTACTAAAAATACAAAAATCAGTCCAGCATGGTGGTGCATGTCTGTAATTCTTGCTACTTAGGAGGCTGAGGCAGGAGAATCGCTTGAATCAGTGAGTTGGAGGTTGCAGTGAGCTGAGATTGCGCCACTGCACTCCAGCCTGGGCGACACAGGGAGACTCTGTCTCTAAATAAATAAATAAATCACTTTCTTTTTTTTTGAGACGGAATCTTGCTCTGTTGCCAGGCTGGAGTGCAGTGGTGTGATCTCGGCTCAAATTGGTCTCAAACTCCTGGCCTCAAGCGATCCTTCTGCTTTAGCCTATGCCAAGTGCCTGCTACAGAATGTTTTATAAAATATAAAAGAGGTCAAGTATGATGGCTCACGTTTGTAATCCCAGCACTTTGGGAGGTTGAGGTAGGAGGACTGCTTGAAGCTGGAGGTTTGAGAACAGCCTGGGGAACAAAGCAAGACCCCGTTTCTACACAAAAATAATTTTAAAAAGTGAGCCAGGACTGGATGTGTACCTGTGGTCCCAGCTACTTAAGAGGCTAAGTAGGGGAATGGCTTAAGACCATTTCAAGGCTTCAGTAAGCCATGATCAATCATGGCACTGCACTTCAGCCAGGGTGACAGAATAAGATCCTACCTCTTAAAAAATTTTTTTGAAAATACACTAGGCACAGTGGCTCATGCCTGTAATCCCAGCACTTTGGCAGGCTGAGGCAGGCTAATCACAAGGTCAGGAGTTTGAGACCAGCCTGACCAACATGGTGAAACCCTATCTCTACTAAAAAAAGGAAAAAAAACACCAAAAAATATTAGCCAGGCATGGTGGCACGTGCCTGTAATCCCAGCTACTCAGGAGGCTAAGGCAGGAGAATCACTTGAACCTGGGAGGCAGAGGTTGCAGTGAGCCAAGATTGTGCCACTGCACTCCAGCATGGGCAACAAGAGCGAAACTCCATCTCAAAAAAGTAAAAACATAAAAATAAATAAATAAATAAATAAACTATAAAAGACTGGAATGGAAAACAAGAAAATAGAAAGCAGAAAAAGTATAAAGAAAATCAATGACACCAAAAGTTCGTTCTTTGAAAACATCAACAAATATGACAAATATTAGACTGGCCAATAAAATAGGAGAGAAGACATAAATTACCAAAATCAGGGATGAAAGCGGATATAGCCATTAAGAAGAATGAAATAATGCCTTCCGTAGCAACATTTAGCAACATGGATACAGCTGGAGGTCATTATTGTAAAGCAAATTAACACAGGAACAAGACCAAATATCACATATTCTGACTAGAAGTGGGAGCTATGCCAGAGCAGTGGCTCACACCTGTAATCCCAGCACTCTGGGAGGCCGAGGCAGGTGGATCACAAGGTCAGAAGTTTGAGATCAGCCTGGCCAATATGGTAAAACCCCATCTCTACTAAAACTACAAAAAAAAAAATTAGCCGGGTGTGGTGGTGCGTGCCTGTAATCCCAGCTACTTGGGAAGCTGAGGCGGGAGAATCGCTTGCACCCAGGGGGCAGAGTTTGCAGTGAGCCAAGATCGTGCCACTGCACTCCAGCCTAGGCAACAGAGCAAGACTCCATCTAAAAAAAAAAAAAAAGTGGGAGCTAAACATTGGGTACTCATGGACATAAAAATGTCAACAACAGACACTGGGAAGTACTAGAGGGCCAAGGGTTGAAAAAAAAAACTATTAGGTATTATGCTCACCACCTGGGTGACAGAATCAATTATACCCTAAACCTTGGCATCCTGAGACATACACATGTAACAAACATGCATATGTATCCCCTGAATCTACAATAAAAGTTGAAATCATTAAAAAAAAAATAAATTAAAAGTTACAAAAAAGACTAAAAAAAAAAAAAAAAAAAGAATGAAAGGGGACATCACTATTGACCCTATAGGAATTAAAAGGATTACTCTAAGGAGCAACTTGAACAACTTTCTACCAACAAATTGCTTCCTAGAAAGAGACAAATTATCAAACTGACTCAAAGAGATACATAAAATCTGAATAAACCTATAACAAGAAATTGAAGTAATAATTACAAACATCACAAAGAAAAGTCCAAGGACAAATGGCCTCACTTTTGAAGTTTACCAACTATTTAAAGAAGAAAATGTTACCACTCATTCACAAACTCTTTCAAAAAACAGAAGAGGGACCACTTCTAAACTTCTATAGCTATCTTGATAGTAAAGCCAAATAAAAGCGTGGCAAAATAAACTACAGTACAGTATTTGTCATAAACACAGAGGTAAACTGAGCTAAGCAACAAATAAAAAGGACCATAAATAGTAAGCAAATAGGATTTACATCAGGGATGGAATGTTGGTTTAACCCTTGAAAATCAATTAGTGAAATACATAATATTAATAGAATAAATGACAAAAGCACCAATGACATGGACAATGATTGCATCAACAGATGCAGAAAGAGCATTTGGCAAACCACAGTGCACGTTCATGATTAAAAACTCAACAAATTAGGCATAGAACTTCTTCAAGTGGATAAAAGGCATCTACAAAAAAACCACAACTAAAATCATATACAGTGGTGAAACACTGACCATTATCTTTCTCCCTGAAATCAGGAATAATGCAAGAATGTCTGCTCTTGCTTGCCACTTTTATTCAATATTGTACTGGAGGGACAATAAACAAGAAAGAAAGAAAAGAAAAGAAAAGAAAAGAAAAGAAAAGAAAAGAAAAGAAAAGAAAAGAAAAGAAAAGAAGAAATTAAAGGCATCCAATGAGAAATAAAAAAGTAACTGTACTCATTCACAGTAGAAAATCCAAAGGAGTACACAATAAAACAGAACTAGCAAACAATAAATAAATAAACTAGAAACAACACAAATGTCCACTCTATGTGGAATTTTGCATTTTTCTTCCATTTCTGATTCACAGAGGTATTTATCTTGGTGCTGATCTTGCTTTTTTGTTTTATAGTTTTATCTTCATTGTAAATGTATTCAGAATAAAGGAAGCAGTGGATCAAAACTTCCTACGGCATTTTGACTACAAATCCTTCATCTATACTTTTTCTTATATTCCTTGTCAGTCTGTTCTTGTATTCTTTATTTTCTTTTTACTAAAGCATCAACTATTAACTCATTTCAACTAACAACCCATTAAAGAGCATTTTCATATATTATCCTTTGTTTCAAATGTGAAATACAAATTTGAATTACTTACCAATACTATGAAACTGCCATCGCTGATGAATTCTTTCTGGAAGAAGCTGTAAAATTTTCTAAAAATCAATATAAAGAAAAAAAAGAAAAGAATAAAAGTAATGAGTTTAGATCCTGAAAAAATGTGAAAAATTAAAGGGCTTACTAAGTATAACAAATACGAAGTAGGCCGGGTGCGGTGCCTCACGCCTGTAATCCCAGCACTTTGGGAGGCTGAGGCAGGTGGATCACCTGAGGTCAGGAGTTCGAGACCAGCCTGACCAACTGGTGAAACCCTATCTCTACTAAAAATACAAAAATTAGCGAGGTGCAGTGGTGGGTGCTTGTAATTCCAGCTATTAGGGAGGCTGAGGCAGGAGAATCACTTGAACCCAGGAGGCAGAGGTTGCAGCGAGCCAAGATTGCACCATTGCACTCCAGTCTGGGTGACAAGAGCAAAACTCCAACTCAAAAAATAAATAAACAAACAAACAAAAAATACAAAATAGTCCCTGACCTAATCTGATAGTACTGACATTATTTTAGCGCTGGCATGTTGATCACTATTTGAAAACCTCAAAAAACAACAAACAATACAAACCAGTACTTGGAACAAGAACTTAATAGAACACATCTTTCACAATGATATATATTTTTTCCTAATGACTAAACGTTAATTCTAATATATTTAAAATGCTTATTTACTATTTCCAGAATTTCTTTTTTTCTGCCTTTAGATATGGAGTCTTGCTATGTTGCAGAGGCTGGAGTGCACTGACTATTCAGAAGCATGATCCTAGTGCACCACAGTCTTAATTCCCAGGCTCAAGCGATCTTCCTGCCTCAGTCTCCCAAGAAGGTGGGAATACAGGATGCACCACTATGTCTGGCAAGTCCTAGGATCTCTTTATTGTGGATACCACTGACGCATTTCAATTCTTTCAGATATTAATATTTGCAACATTTTCTCTTTCTTCTAATGGTTTCTCCTATTTTGATAATCCTAGAGAAAATATTTTGATTTTATAAGAACCCCATCAAATATTTATACTGAATTAATGTGAAACCAGAGGTACTTAGATGTAATGATGAATATAGTATGAGAGCAAAATTCTTTTTAAAAGGTGTGGGTTTCACTCTGTTATCCTGGCTGGAGTGCAGTGGTGTGATCATAATTCACTGAAGTCTCAAACTCATGGGTTCAAGCAATCCACTAATCTCAGCCTCTCAAATAGTTAGGACTACAGGTATGTGCCACCATGCCCAGATAAACTTTATTATTGAGATGGAGTATCATTATGTTGCCCATGCTGTGCCCAAGCTTCTGGCCTCAAGCAATCCTCCAGCTCTGGCCTCCAAAAGTGCTGGGATTACAAGTGTGAGCCACTGCATCAGGGCAGAGAGCAGGATTTAAAATTTGAGGAGTCCTATAGTTAAGCTAACAAATACAGGTTTCCATTAATTGGTAATAAAATCTTTCCACAAATATGTTCAAAATTCTGCCTTTTATTTCTCTTAATATTATACCTGTGTGGATTACTCTCGATCAAGAGCTATCTTACTGCTGAATAGTGCTCTCAATACTTACTCATCCACTTGCTCAATGACATTTTTGTGTATTTATTGTTATTGCTGTTCTTACTATTATTTAGAACATCACTAATGAATGCTTATAAAGGCCAAACACTAGGCACTTTATTATATAATGATATATTAATATACCTTGCATTAATCCTTGCAATTATTCCAAAACAAGGGTTTATCTCATTCAACAAATGAAGAATTCGGTTAAGTAGTACACTTAGGTTACAAAGCTAGGAAGTGAAAGAACAGAGGTTCCAAATTTAATATACCTATTTCCAAAACCTCTGCCTTAAGAATATACTGATCAAAGGATGACAAGCTTATTCTATACTTCCTTGCCTTGTCTTTGATATAATCTTCTTTAGTATACCCCATATGAGAGGATGATATAGAAATTTTAAAGTTCTACACAGATAAATGCTGGTCCCACAGGAGACACATAAAAAAAAAAATTTTTTTTTTTTTTTTTTTTTGAGACAGTCTCACTCCATTGCCAGGCCCCAGGCTGGAGTGCAGTGGCACAATCTCAGCTCACTGCAACCTCTACCTCCCAGGTTCAAGCAATTCTCCTGCCTCAGCCTCCCAAGTAGCTGAGACTACAGGCACGCGCCACCATGCCCAGCTAATTTTTGGATTTTTAGCAGAGATGGGGTTTCACCATGTTGGCCAGGATGGTCTCGATCTCTTGACATCGTGATCTGCCCACCTCGGCCTCCCAAAGTGCTGGGATTACAGGCGTGAGCCACTGCGCCCGGCCACATAAACTTTTTTAACCTTTGTCCTCCCTATGCGTCCCACAGCTGGCCAACAACTGCATACTTGTATTTATTTTTGTATAGGAAGAGATAAAATTACAGAAAAGTTGAAAAGACAAATTTATAAACTATTCAAAAGAATTTCTATATTATGACTAACAATTATACTTTAGATTTAGCCCCTTATATCTTTTTATACGGTTAATAAAAGATTAAAGAGATTACATGTGCCCTAAACTGCACAGAATATAAATCCTCTACCATTTTATTAACATTACATAAACATGCTTTTTATTCTAGAAAAAGGAAATCAGTTTATTTACGATTTCTTTTTCATCATTAGTCTCTAAAGGTAGAGGTCCCCTACTATAAGCAGAAGAATGTCAGCACAAAAATTAAATGATTTTTCCAAAAGATGAAAACCTGGTATCTTACATATTTTTCCTAATGAAATTTAATAATCCATTAAAGACAAACATTTCTATTTAAAGAATAAAAAATAATCAGTATATATTACATATAAAAAAATAGTTATTTTTACACATGAGGAATACCCCAAAAGAGCTTCTTATTAACTAATCAATCATCTCAGTTTCCTGAATCTAAGGCAAGCATAAACATTTGAAGGAATACTTTCCAGGAACCATTAGCTTGCTTTCTCTGTGGATACTTTTATTCTTTCTCAAAACATCTATGTTTCAATATTTCCCTTGTGAACAGTTCATGCACACACTTAAAGAAGTAATAAAATCAAATTCCTCAGGGGTCACGACTAATGAAAATTAATTGCAGAACAGATGATAACATCAATGTTACTGCTGTCTGGAACCCTTAAAAAAAAACTTTTTTTTCCTGTAACTAATCAACAGCTATGTGACATATAAATGAGGTTGTTCAAATTCTTCTAAATTACATCAAAATACTAAAGAAAGAATGAATTATTATTATTATTTTTGAGACAGGGTCTCACTCTCTTGCCCAAGAGTACCGTGGCACAATCATGGCTCACTATCACTTAAACCTCCCGAGTCACTAGTAATACAAGTGGCTTGCCACCACCATGCCTGGCTAACATTTTTGATTTTTAGTAGAGACAAGGTCTCGCTGTGTTGTCCAGGCTGGACTCAAACTCCTGAGCTAAAATGATCCTCTCGCTTCAGCCTCCCAAAGTACAGGGATTACTTTCAACCACCACACCAGCCAAGAGTGCATTATCTTTAATAGCAGCAGACAGAATAGCTCAATCTTCAGAAACTGATTTCCAAATTCTTTTCTATGCATCTCGAGTCACTACTCCTGGTTTTCTACAAGTCTCGAAATTCTCAGTGAAGATCAGAATACTCCTATGACCGTTTATCTGTTTACTTTGAAAAATAATAAAGAGCAAGGAGTTATTTTAAAAGGGGGATGAAAGGATCTTAATTTTTAAGAGTGTGCTAAAATTTTTTAAAAATTTAGCAGAGCATCAAATTTTGTTCATTCACCTATGAGCTATGTTTCCTGATTTTTATTTATAAAGACCTGCCCCAACTCCAATCTAATGTAAAAATGGCAATTTAAAAAATATTTAAGACTATTTTAAACAAGTATACAATGAAAAGCAGTTAACCAAGAAACAATAAATCCCTAAGGCACATAAAAGTTACATGAATATACCTTCTTAGGTGAGAATGTTTTGGAGTTAAAAACAAATTTTCCATTTCAGTAAACCATCCACAAATTAAAATTTTCATTGTTTGCAAACAAATTGAATATCATACCAATTTTGTCGTGTCAAATGTATACAAACATATCTGTATTTAAAAGTAATACACTGTATCTCAAAAAGTATAGGATTCAGTAAGGCATATTTTAAAAATTTAGATTTAGTTCTTAGAAAGGCTGGCAAATTCCCAGTGTTTCATTACATGTTTTTTTAACTTAAATTCATTCCTTTATATATTCCAAAAATTATTTTTGGAAAAAAAAAAGAGATACTACTGGAAAGAAACTGTCAGTATGAGCAGGGCATACAAAATTAAACAAATAACTCTGCCGGGTGCGGTGGCTCACGCCTGTAATCCCAGCACTTTGGGAGGCTGAGGCGGGTGGATCACGAGGTCAAGAGATCGAGACCATCCTGGTCAACATGGTGAAACCCCGTCTCTACTAAAACTACAAAAAATTAGCTGGGCATGGTGGCGCGTGCCTGTAATCCCAGCTACTCAGGAGGCTGAGGCAGGAGAATTGCCTGAACCCAGGAGGCGGAGGCTGCGGTGAGCCGAGATCGCGCCATTGCACTCCAGCCTGGGTAACCAGAGCAAAACTCCGTCTCAAAAAAAAAAAAAAAAAAAAAAAAAAAAAAACAAATAACTCTATGAACAGTAGAAAGTGTTAGAACTAAAAGTGAGATGTCAAAATATATGGTAGTTTAGAAATACAAGAGTACTTTCAATGCTCAATAAAGCACAAAAGTGGGAAAGAAAAAACGCCTGGCAGAGTACATAATATCTGAAAAGACGTTTAAGGACAGGAAGAACACTAGACATAAAGTGGTGGTGCTGAATGGGAAGTTAGATTCAGAAGCACTTACCTCAAAAATAAAAAGTATAGCATCCAATTCTTCTCTTTGAGACTTGTGACCTAAAACATTTTTATAGGAAAACATTTAAAACATATAATTTTGTCCTCATTGTTAACAGTCACTTAATGAACTTAAAATATTTCAACAATGAAGCGTTTTTTTTCCCAGCAGTTATTTAGTAAAATGTTTAAAGCATATTCCATTCATTACGTAGACAATATCATCGTGGCTCTCTTCACTTTTCTGAGAACTGTAATTACATTTAGGTTCTACATATTTATGTCTAGAAACAAATCATGACATATTACAAAGAACTGGAAAAAGCTCTGAAAATCAAAATATAAAAATGACTGCTCAAATGTGATACATGCTCCTATGGCAGAACCAAAGAAGGCAGAATGACAGAACAAATCAACCTGACCAGTGAAAAAGTAAATCTTCAAAGCCACTGTAAAGTAATAAGGATAGTAATACTAACCCATTAGTTGTTATTTCTAATACAGGTTACTAGACCTATGATGTCTAAGAGCTTTTCAAAGTTATGTTTATGCCAATTATTAGAAATATTAACATAAACCAAGATACATGTTAGCATCTTACCTTTCTGTTTAAGACTAGCTTCAATAGTCACAAAATTTTCAAAGAACACATAGTATATATGTGAAAAATGTTGGTCGAAAAATTGTTTAAGATCAATAGATTCTGCATTCTCTGAAAAATTAAAAACAATTACTGATTATTTACATGTATTAAATCATATTTAGCAAATACTCAGTGACAAGTTTCCTTAAAGAACTGCTCCTAAAATCCTATTCTACTAAAATCATTAATCACACACAAAAAAGTTAAATTCTATTTTCAATTCATAGCTACAGCTTTTCTAACTTCTATTTTCCCCAAGACAGTTTAAAATCAAAATAATAATTCATGATGTCTGAAGGCCAGGTGTGGTGGCTCACACCTTTAATCCCAGCACTTTGGGAGGCTGAGGCAGGCAGATCACCTGAAGTGAGGAGTTTGAGACCAGCCTGGCCAATATGGTGAAACCTCGTCTCTACTAAAAATACAAAACTCAGCTGGGTGTGGTGGTGTGTGCCTGTAATCTCAGCTACTTGAGAGGCTGAGGCACAAGAATCACTTGAACCTGAGGCAGAGGCTGCAGTGAGCAAAGGTTGTGCCACTGCACTCCAGCCTGAGAGACAGAATGAGACTCTGTCTCAGGGGGAGAAAAAAATAATAATAATTTATGATGTCTGAAATATATTTATTCAATAAATAGGTAACTAATAATAGGCTTTGTAAATAGGTACTTAGGGCTTAAAAAGCTCAAACACAGAGACTACTACTCGAAAAAAACTGTCAGTAAGAGCAGGGCATGCAAAATTAAACAAATAACTCTATGAACAGTAGAAAGTGTTAGTACTAAAAGTGAGATGTCAAAGTATTTGGCAGTTTAGAAACACAAGTGTACTTTCAAAGCTCAATAAAGCACAAAGGTGGGGAAAGAAAAAATGCCTGGCAGAGTACATAATATCTGAAAAGACGTTTAAGGACAGGAAGAACACTAGACATAAAGTGGTGGGGTTGAATGGGATGGGCATTCAAAGCATAAAAAAATACATGGAGCAAGAAAAGAGTGAGGTATGTTAGAATCCAGAAAAATAATTCATTTTGGCTAAAGCTTAGAGCATTTTAATAAAAACAAACAAGTAGACTTGAGTTATGTTTACATGTACTTATGCATATGTATTTATGCATAGAAGATTCCAAACAACTAGGCAACGTGACCTCTAGGGAGCATGACTAGTTTTATTGTTGCTTTCAGTGTAAGTGAGAACATTGGTGAAAAGGAGTAGAGAAATTCTACTCCATATACTTCCTACTATTCCAAATTGTTTACAAAAAGCACATTACTTCACTTACAATACAAAATAAAAAATTTTTGTGTTTTATTTTTTTGAGATGGACACTTGCTCTGTTGCCCAGGCTGTAGTGCGGTGGTGCAATATCGGCTCACTGCAACCTCCAACTCCAGGGTTCAAGCGATTCTCCTGCCTCAGACTCCCAAGTAGCTGGGATTACAGGTGCCCATTACCACACCTGGCTAATTTTTATATTTTTAGTAGAGACAGGATTTCACTATGTTGGCCAGGTTGGTCTCAATCTCTTGACCTCAAGTGATCCACCCACCTCGACCTCCCAAAGTGCTGGGATTACAGGTGTGAGCCACATGCCCAGCCTCAAAATATAATTTTAAAAAGCAACTGAAAAAAAATAAAAGATTTTTGAACCTTGGAAGGAAATAAAGAAACTATTCATTGTAAATAAACCCAAGTTAAAGATAAATGTCAATGAATTTCTTAGAATATTCTAATGTTCAACAGAAGATTTCAAAATAAAGTGAAATAGTAACAACACATAGATAGCACTTTAAATTATTTTATGTATTATCATATCCTATGAATATTCATAATAATTTTTTGGCAGGGACAGGGTCTCACTCTGTCACCCAGGCTAGAGTACAGTGGCATGACTACACCTCACTGCAGCCTCAACATCCTGAGTTCAAGCAATCCTCCCACCTGAGCCTCCAAAAGTACCCAGGACCCAGGTACCTCTTCACCACCACACCTAAATAACTTTTTAATTTTCTGTGGAGATGGAGTCTTGTTATGTTGCCCAGGCTGGTCTCAAACTCCTAGGGCTGAAGCAATCCTCCTATCTTGATCTCAAAGTGTTAGAATTACAGGCGTGAGCCATAACACCCGGCACAGTAACTCTTTAGTGATGTCTTATCTATGTGATTTTTTTCCAAGACTCTCTTTTGTTCTGCCATTCCAAAAGGAAAGGGACAGAAGCCTTTCCTCTCTATTCCCTTGGATTCTCTACATTTCTCTTTTATGGAAAGAACAATGTTTCAAAGTGTCTTATTGTCTATCTTCCAGGACTAGTCTAGCAACTTTAGAATAGGAACTGTGTCAGGATTTCCAAATATTGGCACAATGCTGAGCAAACAGTAGGTACTCAAATGTATTTTATGACTAACAAAATACATTATTTTTACTTTATTATATTCAGTTCATACAATATGGGAACTGTTACCTTGGAAAAGACTGCATAACCTACTGAAAGGCAAAATAGCACTGCCTCATCTTGACTGGAATTAGAATACCCAGATTTCAGTCCTGTCTGCAACACTTACTATTTGTGTGACTTTTTGCAGAACTAGACAAAATAATAATGCTTAACACAAACTGAATGTTTTCTAAACAATGCACACTATTCTCAGCACTTCACAGAAACTAATTTCTATAATCTAGATAGCAATACTATGAAATTAGTACCATTATTATCTCCATTTTACAGATGAGAAAATTTAGGCACAGAAAGTCTCAGAAACTTAGCTCATGAAGTACAGTCAGGATTTAAACACCAGGAACCCTAGATCTACTCAGCCTCCAATGTAATACATTTGTAAGAAAAGAATGCTAAATATTTATCTATTAATCTGCCTATAAGAATAATAATAGTCATCAAACACTAGTTAAATATATTTTATCGGATATCAAAATAAAAACACATACAATTGAAATAAAGAGGAAAGGTGTTCTATTTTTCCTACAGAGTAGTTTAAAGAACTATGAAACTAGAATAAAATAGGCTTGGGCTGGGCAAGGTAGTTGACATCTGTAATCCCAGTACGTGGTAGGCTGAAGTGGGATGGCTGTTTGAGGGCAAGAGTTTGAGACCAGTCTGGGCAACACATTGAGACCCCATTTCAACAAAATTTAAAATTAGTCAGGCATGGAGGCATGTGCCTGTAGTCCCAGCAACTCTGGAGACTAAGTTGGGGGAATTCCTTGAGCCTAGGAATTTAAGTTGCAGTGTGCTATTATTGAGCCAGTGCACTACAGCCTAGGAAACAGAGCAAGATCTTGTCATTAAAATAATAATAACAATGAAAGAACAAAATAGACTGCTATAATTACCTCTAAATTTCCTAAAATTAATGTTTCAAAAACACAATGTTTTAGGAGAGAGAAGAAAATAAGAACAATAACAAAGCAAACCAAAAACACAACAAAAGCAAACATGAATCAACTCAAGATTCTGTGACATATTAGGAGCCAAAATATTCTCTCTCGATTTCCTTCCCATAAGGCATGCTAACAAAGTCTGGAAATTATGTACTTGTTAATGCTAATAAAAATGATCAAAATTAGGCTAATTTCTTTTTTACTCCATATCTATTTGTAATGAACTTTTTAGCAAATCACCACCAATTTACAATATTTACATGGTAAGGAAGAAACACAGAAAAGATAGATAAAATACAATGAGAAGGTTTCACTTATTTAAAAACAACTCTCTCTCCAAAACAATAACACAGAAGAAAAAAATGGAAAAGGAAGAAAATCCAGAAATAAAGAGATTATGGGAAAAAAATTTCAACCAATTTTAAATCTCAATATCAAATCCTGTCCTTTCCAAAAAGGTACACTTAACCCATTCTGTTTCTCTTTCTATGAATGCCTCCATTACTCAGTCAGTTCTATATATGTCCTATGAGCTAGTATTACTCTCTTACAGAAATGGGGGCTCTTTAGGAGTAGCAAGCATGCCTCACCTTCTTTTATAACCTTTCAAAATTTTAATCTAGAAGGAGTGCCTTGCATAATGCTGAGCTGACGTTCAGTGCTTTAAAAAAAAAGTTTAAAGGTTCCAAAATTTACCTTATTTTTAGAAATAATTTTATTTGATGGCCGGGCACAGTGGCTCACGCCTGTAGTTCCAGCAATTTGGGAGGCTGAGGTGGGCAGATCACCTGAGGTCAGCAGTTTGAGACCAGCCTGACCAACATGGAGAAACCTCGTCTCTACTAAAAATATGAAAAAATTAGCAGGGCGTGGTGGTGTATGCCTGTAATCCTAGCTACTCAGGAGGCTGAGGCAGGAGAATCACTTGAACCCAGGAGGCGGAGGTTGCAGTGAGCTGAGATTGCGCCATTGCACTCCAGCCTGCGCAACAAAAGTGAGACCCCGTCTCAAAAAAAAAAAAAAGAAGAAGAAGAAGAAATTATTCCATTTGATTTGAAATGTTTGTGAACTAGTATTTCCTTAAAGAAATCAAGTAAGTATTTCACCACAAATTCAGACTGAGGTTTCTAAGATTTTAAAAACCTGACTCAGGCTTAGGAATGCTTTGCAGACCTTTGGGAGTAGTCATTTTAAGTAGCAAAATAATTCTGGGCTCCATTTAGTTTCCGCGAATAAAATTTCTCAGATGTTTCTTCAGGCTCTTTTTATGATACATTTTAAAAACTTTGTCATAAAACATTTACTTTTTACTACCTATTTTTAAGACATTTAAGCACTATAGCACACATGTAATTTAAAATTTCAAAGGTCAGAAGTCAGTTTTCCTGACCTAAAAGTTCAGATATTAAACATTTCCCTATAAAAGGTATCACATACCCAAGCTGGAAGATTAAAAATTCAACAAATTTTACAGTATCATAATTCTTCTTTATCCATTAAAAAAAGAAATCTCATTTACTCTTTTGCAAATGATAGCATCATAATATACTACCTGTGAAGTGTATCACAATCAAGCTGCTTCTAGTAATATTATTGTTGTTAGAAATAATAAATATAAATAATATAGAATATAGAAATAATTGTAATAAAGTATCAAACATTGTAAGTTACTGT